TTATCCATCAAATCTTTCCAATTAACTAATTTTTTGTTCTCCTTTGAGTCTACTTGTCTCTGTCTTCCAAAAAATAATGAAACTATATGTATTTAGAACATGAGAAGGAAAAAATAAAAAATAAAAAATAAAAAAAATAAAATAGGGCACTTCTCTGCTGGTTCATTTTCTTCTTCTTTTATGCGTGATGCCGTAAATCCAATGTTTTGCCTCTTTTACAAAGAGATTTGATAAAACAAACAAAAATAAGAAATAAAGAAAAATAAGCCAAAAATAATAAAAGGAAAAAGAAATCAGCACCAATGACATTTCACAAATTTTCAATCAAATTGTGCACATTTTGCATTAGTAGAGGCAGGAATGGGTAAGGGGGTTGGCAGCTACCACAATTTCATTGGATTGGGCTAATGCTGTGGATGGCTAAAGCTGAATCGCGTGCTAGGGAAGTTTTTCTCCCTCTTGTGGAGAGAGACAAAAGTGTCAAAACCATGTGGGGTCCCCCACATTACAAAAGCATTTGCTAATTGTCTCATTGGAAAAGCCTAAAAGTCAAATGAGTTTTATTTATTCATTTATTTTATAGTAAGAGCTTTCAAAACTTATGTATTCATCGACACGTATATATATTGAATATTTGTATGTTGCATTATTAAATGGAAATTGTGTCATCACAAATGACCTTCTGTTGTTTATTTATGTTATTCTTGGTGACGTTTTGGAATTGCTTAAACTGTGGTTAAACAATAATTTGATTTTAATATAAAAAATGAGAGAAGGAAAATATATATCAATGCTCGCTTAGCATAAAAGCATCATAATCCCAACAACAAACTGCATCAAATAATATAGGGAAATAGCTTTAAATGCCACCAGTTTTTAGTTTTAAGTGGAAATACCACCTCTCCCCACAAATTTTGCAAATACTACCTATAAATATATATTTATTGTCCACTTATTGCACACAGAACACTTTCTTTGAAATTTAGTTCTCTCTCAGCTCTCTTAGCTCTCTATTCGCTGTCTCTCTCTCTCTCTCTCTCTCTCTCTCTCTCGTGCAGTTGTATCCCTCTCTCGCGCAGCTCTCTTTCAGTAGCGATCTCTGTTATGAATTGGGAAACCCCCACTCAACCCCATCTTCTAGGTAAGTCTTCTGAATAATGTAAGGTTGCAGCTGCTTGCAACCTTTAAGCTCTACTCCATTGCCGACCTCCAATAGGTAGTCTTGATGGTCATTTTCTTAATCTATGTGGGATTATGTGAAATTGGTTTTATTTTGATTGTTTGGGTTTCTGTGAAATTAAATTGCTTTGGGTAATATTTTTTGAATCTTTATGCTCATCCATCTAGGTTTTTACCAAATGCATTTAGATTGCTCTGGATATGTGAATCTTGAAACTTGAGATTTTCCATTTGATGTAGTAGATTTGTATAGTCTGATTGTGATGAATCCTTGTTCAGTGCTGTGTTATTGTTGTTTTATTGCTGTTGTGTTGCTGTTATATTGTTTTTGTATTGCCATTGTATTGCCTGGTTATTGGGGTTGTATTGCAGTGATTTGGTCGTGGCTTCAAATGTGTTAATGAAATGTTGTTTTGTCATGGTCAGAAATGGAGACGATTGTGATTATGGTTTGCTACAATGGAAAATGGGTAACCTCAAAGAAGATGTGCAAATACGAAGGGGGTGACTCAAAAGGCTTAATAGTACCACGAACCATCACATTTGCTGAACTGTTGGATTGTATGCATCAGATTGCTGAGAGATAAGAGGCAAGGCATGAATGAGGAAGGAGCATCAGGTTTTGTGGTGTCATTTTTTGTAATTTAGGGGGGGATGTGATGGTGGTGTAAGACATGACTTGTATATATAGAGTCTATTTTGAACGGGTGTATTGTAGGCCACATGTCTTTTAAGGGATGTATAAGTCAATCAAATGGTAGAGTTTGATGCAGTACCTACTGCAATGGGACCCTCTTGTGATTGTATTGTGCTTTTATTGATATCATATTGCCCATTATTCGCATGCGTATTGTGAAGTTATTGCCGCTATAATCGTTTGAACTGGACAAGGATAAAGGAAAGTGTATATGCACAAATACAAAAAGAGGCATCACAATTCTATCAAATCCAATTTCGAAACTTACATAATACAATAAGAGGCCACCCCATAGTTACATAATACTAAAAGAGGCCACCTCATAGTTCCACTAGTTCCACTACATTTTATAGTCTCCAAAGTCATATTAATGTGTCCAAAGTTTCTTGCTGTTGACACATTCGGAGTTGCATACTCTACAATTGCGGCGACCGCAACCCATGAAATTCATGACCCGCATGCATACTCTTTCGACAACTTCAATTACGGCATATCAATGTTGACATGTTTTTCACTACCTAACAGCACAAAAATAACAAAATATAGAAATCCAAACTTCACGACATCCTCCTCATCAGCGCAGTTGATGAAGGCTTTTTCTAGTTCGGAAAGGGTCAGAGCAAAATATAATACCAAGTTCCCATCCTTACTCATTTCCCGCTTTCTTTTAAGCAGACAATGATCAAGAACAAAAGAGCAAACTTTTAAAGAACTCATATTACACCACATATGGTTCTTTGCTCTTCGTTTAGACATTGAATATTCATCCCCAAACTGAAATTCCAAAGAATCACAAGAAAATATGAAAAAGAAAGAAAACTTATCCATATCCAATATGCAAGCCCTAAAGTTAGTAAACAGAGTTATAAAAAAATATGTCAAATTAACAAGCATTATTCTGAAACAAAAAGTATGATATGGTTGGGAGCATACAAGTTAAAAATGATATACACTGGTTAATTGTCTTAGACTTTAGATATCATCTTCAAAAAAGAAAATAGATACTGATTAGACTTGTAAGAAGGTTAAATGCAATGGTCATAAAGACCCATAGTAAGCCACCAAATACCAATTAATAATTGCTACAAAAACCATAATAAAACCATAATAAACTAGCAATACAACAGCACTAAAATGTCATTACAACATCACTAAATTAGCAATACACCAGCAAAAAAACAGCAATACGACATCAATAGCAACAACAAAACAACAGCAGTGCAAGCATCAATCCACAAAGAACAAACCCATTCACTGTTTCAAACAAGGAGCCATCACAATTTCAGAGAAACCCCGAAACCAATTTCAGAGGAACCCCTAAACCCTAAACCAGTTTCGAACAAACCCCCAAACCAATTTCATAGAAACCCATAAACCCATAAACCAACTTCAGAGAAACCCCTAAACTGTAAGAAAATGACGATGAACAATACCTGTTGGAGGTGAACGATGAAGTTGAGCTTCGATGAACAGATTCTGCTGGGAGAGGAAGAGAGAAGAGAGAGTGAGAACTAAGCGACGAGAGAGTGAAGAGAAAGTGAGAGACGAAGCCAAGAGAGAGCTGAGAGAGAACTAAATTTCAGAAAAAGTGTTATGTGTGCAATAAGTGGGGAGAGGTGGTATTTCCACTTAAAACTAAAAAAATGGTGGCATTTAGAGCTATTTCCCAATAATATATTGATGGACGGTAGCTTTATGTCGAGTTTGTCGACCCCATCCTCATGTTGAGTCTGTTACACAAGCATTTGTTCTTTTGCTATATAATATAAGTATTTGGTAGTAATAATCTCACCCGAAGACTCCCAAGTCAAATCAAATTGAGAGTTACCTAATCTCAACACCCTTCTAAACTTGTTCCAAAACTGAACAAGAATTTCCAAAACCCACAATACTTGGTCCAAATCCTTTGCAAAGAATCGAAACATGGTTGGAGTTTTGGTTTTCTCATGGGAGAATATTCGCATGTAGATTTTTCACCCTTCAAGCTTCCTTCTCTCCCTTCCTCGGTTCTTGCGAAACAAATAGGAGTAAAAGACCACACCCAAAGGCACTCTGATTCCTAAGTTAGTTCGATTAGATCTTTGAGAAAAGATGCGGCAGCTTGGCTAGTGCTGAGAGTCCTCTTTTTTTTTTCTTTTTTTTGACATGTAATTTAGCTCGCAAATTTTTTCCTTTGTTTCGTAGTTGTTCAGTCATCTTGTCTTCTTTGAAAGAGGTCCCTTCTGATGAGAAGACTCAAGTATGAACTACTCCTTCGTCATCTGACAGGGTCAAGCACCTTGTCAGCCCAGAGAGTAAAAATATTGGTGGCATGCAAAATGTTCGGGACATTTCGCTCAAGTCTCCAACTGACAAGCTCAAAAATTGCAATCTGCCTTGTAAAGAAGTCCGATGCCGAACCAGTTCGCCTGTCGAAAAGCAAAAAGATGGTGACATTCCTCCCCGAAGTTCAAGTCACCTACACCGATCAAAGGATAAGGATCGAACTGGGAGGACTGCTCCTTTACCTAACCATCGTGATCCAGCTGTCGAGTCACAAGCAGTCAAACATGAAGCTGATTCGGCGTCGTTGACTCTTTTGGAGGTTAGGATGGCTGCAGCTAAGAAGGCTAAAGAGTCATATACTCGAGCGAAGGGTTCTTCGGAAACGTGAAAGGCTAATCCCAAGGTTGACAAGTCCAACTTTGCAGGGATGCATATATGTCTAACCAGCTTAAGACGAACTTTCTGTTGAGCCCGTCTGCTTGCGTCAAGCTAGTTGATCATATACATCAGGCTAGTGATCTTGGCATGTTCTCAAGTCTTTCCTTGAAGAAACAAAAGGAAGTGACTGTCAGTTTGCTTCAAAAATAAGTAGTTTTTGTTGTTGAGGCCATCTGGAACTCGTCTACTGCTGCCCCCTCTTCTTCTCAGCTCAGCTAGTTGGAGAAGAAGAATGTTGATTTGACTAGCAAGCTCTCAACAAAGCAGATCTACCATGAAACGAGGATGTCTAAAATGAAGGAGAGTATGTATGTGCTGAAGAGTTCATTTGCTAAAAAAGATAGTGAACTCAACTCTTCTGTAGCTGCCTTGCATAGTCGCAAGGAGGCCTTCTTCCATCTCAAGTACGAGGCCGTTATCGATGCATACAAGTTGGGTTACTTGGACTGCAAAAGTGTGGTCGCTCATTGTTATTCCATTAGAGATGAAGACGTCGAGAGTTTCTACCTTGGCCTGCCCCATGAATGTTGTGGACATAGAGGCAGCCGAAGAGCAAGTGGCTGAAGAGACTGTAATTGAGGAAGATGATATCGAGAAAGACGTAGTTGATGAGATGG